GTCCCCCCCTCCTGCTGCGGCCGCCACCGCTGCTGCTGGCGGCCCCCCCGGACAGAGCGTGCCTGCGGGCCGTGCTGGCGGACTCGCGCTTCTTCTTGGTGTGCATGTGCTTCCTGACCTTCATCCAGTCCCTCATGGTCTCCGGCTACCTGAGCAGCGTCATCACCACCATCGAACGGAGATACAGCCTCAAGAGCTCGGAGTCGGGGCTGCTGGTCAGCTGCTTCGACATCGGGAGCCTGGTGGTGGTGGTCTTCATCAGCTACTTTGGGGGGCGCGGACGGAGGCCGCTCTGGCTGGCTGTAGGGGGTTTTTTCATCGCCCTGGGGGCTGCGCTCTTCTCCTTACCTCATTTCATCTCTCCGCCGTACCAGATCCAGGAATTGAACTCCTCCGTCAGTAACGAGGGCTTGTGCGTGACTGGCAATGGCACCGCCAAAGAGCAGTGGGAGTCGCCGGCCTGTGTCAAGGACTCCGGCGGAAACGACCACTCTCTCTATGTAGCTTTATTCATTTGTGCCCAAATCCTCATTGGCATGGGCTCGACACCCATCTATACCTTGGGACCAACCTACCTAGATGACAATGTCAAGAAAGAAAACGCCTCGCTTTACCTAGGTAAGGCATCTAAGTCCCAGGGTGCTTTGAAGGCTGAACCCCAGATCTCTCTGAGGAACCAGTTACAGGTACTTCTGCCCTGTTCCTTCTGAACAACATCTGTGCTAAGCTTTCCTTCTGAAGTGAACTTCTGAAGTAAAATTGCAATGCTTTCCCGTGTTAAAATGTTTTTTTCCTCTTTCTTGTGGAGTGGTGAACAGCAGTAACGGGTGAAGCTAACGTAGTGTGCGTAAAAGCAGCTGTACTCACACCCTCCCACACGGGGAACGGGACAGCAGAGAAGGTCGGCTTCTCTAACACTTTTCAGCACTTGGCATTAGCCGGTGACTTTTTCAGAAAGCAATGTTGAAGTTTGCCATGCCCCTTCAGGTTTCTTTTTGCTAATACAGAAGCTATATATTTCTCAATTTTGGTCAACATGCCTTTAGCGTAGAGTCTCTCCCTATGATGTTAATATTTTATAAGTACTTTGAGAGATTTTGGCATGCTTCGTTTTACTTTTCCAGCATTCATTTATCTTTAACTAGCAGTGAATTTTGGCTGGCATTGGTAGATCATCTGGCAACTCAGAATGGGTTAAAAAACCGTTGATAAAACGTTGATAAAACAGCAAGTAAAACCTTCAGGGTTAAGAGCTCGGTTATGGGAGCTCAAGGGATGCAACAAAATGAGAGTCGGACCAATCTGGCACCTGGCTTGCGGCAGGTTCAGACAGGTGTTGCTGATAGTCATTCCTATGATGGGAGAAAGGGGTTTCTCAGGTAACTGGGTACTAAACTTTTTTGGAGTTTGAACATGATAACTTGCACCATACTTTTCTGATGGTTTGTGTAATGCGTAAGAAGACTGACTGACCTCTGAATTTGTGTTAGTATCTTACATGATTCTATAAGAAATGAACCTCACGTACTCCTTCAAATTCTTTTCAAATAAGGAGAGGCACTTATGGGGCTGAGAGCGCTGCCGAGGGATTGCGGATGCTCAGCATTACCATTTGCAGTTCAATTTACTTCGTCTTTACGATAACTGTGGAGATAATAATTCTGTGTAAAATAGACATGCATGAAAGGAATACACTCAGGGTGTGTGTGTAATTACTTCATTAAGCAAAAGTAGTGATCCGGATCAGTATTTAATTCCTTTTGACCTGTTCTTCAGCGATTTGACTGTTCCCTGAACCATTTTAAAGCCATGCACAGTCTATGTGTGATGTCTTGAAGAAGCCTGAGACACTGCTGGTTTTCAGAAGGAGAGAGAGAGAGTATCTGTGTTTTTTCTGTTGTTTTCACAGCATTGCTAATCTGCCTGATGAAATATTTGACAAAGTGTTTTCCCTCTCTTCCTCCCCTCTGAGAAAGGTTAAGTGGTATAGAAATTTAGGTTAAACTGGAATCAACTTTATTAGCAATATGAACAAGAAAAGCATCTTGTTGCTGAGGTTAGTAACTGTAGTTTGGAGCAGCAGAGAGGGGGCTGAAACTTTTGCAAATAGATGATTTCATACAGTCCTCGAAAACATGGAAAAAAAGGAAACGGAAAGTCTGTAGGTGAGGAATGAAGGGTATAAGAGATGAATGGTGCGAGAGGAGGAAGAAGTCTTCACCAAAGGGGGAGGCAAGGTCAGTGGTCGTAAATCCTCACTGTGCAGGAGAAACGATGCCTACCACTGAAGCTCTTCCAGCACAGGAAATCGTAATAAAGTGACTCAGGTAACTTTTAATTGCGGCAAAGATCAGCCTTAAAGTTAACAAAGGTAAAAGACACCAGCAGCTGTTGGAAGACTGTATGTGACCCTGTCGCCAGGCACTGAAGGCAGCTTTGATCTATACTGGGAGTACCCTCATAGAGTTGAAGTTCACATGCAGTGATTCAGAAGAGTAAAGATGAGGTACCCAGCTAGCGTGTATGTGAAAAATTTATGCCCGCGATCTGATTGTGTCCACAGGGAGAAGAATTAAAATGAACACAAAGCATGTTTAAACACTGAGTAAAATGTACCATCACCTTCTTTCAGTCTTTAAGCTACTCAGGGCTAGAAGCAATGTTGCTTGCCATTGGAAATCTTGGTATTATCTTTTTTAAATAGTGTGAAATTCTGAGGAAACTTTTAACTTGTTCAGGTTTGAATATTTACCTCGCTTTAGACTTAGGCGGGGGCAGGAGTAAGCAAAACTTTAGACTTTTTGAGGGGCAGGAGTAAAATCCGAGTTCTGTGGAAAAAAAGAAAAAGAGCATTGTTTGGCACGTTGATGTGAGCAAACATGTTTTTTTGGAGCTTCTCAGTGGTTTGGAATGTTTCATGACCTCGAGGAGAGGGATTTGTGGGCGGCAGGCAGCCCAGTTGGGCACAGGGATGGGATAGAGGTGGCCAGGGCATGGCTCTGCAGGCCAGCCACGACGCATCTTGCGTTACGCAATGCCTGTTTCTCAAGGCAGTATGATTTTATTACTGAGGCAAGCTATGCAAATGATGTCAAAATGTAAAATGTATGTATGCATGTCGGCATGAGCTAACAAAAAGTCTTGGAGTGGGCCATGGGAGTCGAAGTTCTGAAAAGAGAAGAAAGCCCGGTGAAACAGATCCCAGTCACACAGATACATGTGTCTGAGTGAGGACAGTTAATTTAAAAAAAAAGTATCCTCTAACACAAAGTGGAAGGTCACTAATGTGTTTGTCTGTAATCATGGTGGTATTGCATTCTATGGTTTTTTTCCAAAGAAAAGTAACATATATAAAGATGTGTTCAGATGAGAAACATTTGTTCACAAGCATGCACATGATAAAGTTCCACTGAGCTGCCGAAGAGCTCTTCAACCCCGCGACTGTGCCCACTAATCGTAGGTCAGTAAAGCCCCCCTGAGCATCACTAATCCTGATTCTGCAAAAACTCACCTTATGTGTCTGTGGAAGCTATTTTATTTATTTTCCAAGTTAATCCAGCTCAGGGCTCGAGTGGCAATAGCATATCCTCTTAAGTGTAGGCATGCAAGTTCAATGTGGACAGCTGTTTTAACATTCCTGGCTGGAAGTCCTGCTCTCAAAAAACATATTTGATGCTTATACATAGTCTCTTGGCTGCCTACACTTAAGTCCATCTGTCAGGGTGGCACGGTGCCAGTTTACAAGGTGGTATGTCGTTTTTAGTAGGACAAAGGTGCCAAGCAGGGATGTGTATTTGGGCCGCCTGCGTAGCAATGTGCGAGCTCACTCTCCTGTGGGATGTTTCTTCCTTGCGAAGGCAGTGGCACCTCCGGGTCCTCCTGCCCCTTAAACCTGGCGGTGCTTTGATGCCCTGACGCTAACTTTGAGAAAATGTATGACATCAGGCTTGGAAACAAGTCATGATTGTAACAGGTGCCTAGGAAATACAAGAACCGGCTCCCTTAATCACAGATAATCCAAAATGGAAGTTACACGCTTTCTGTAAAAACTGGGCAATCACCAAGTTGTCTTTGTCCGCTCCTAAAGTCTCTCCCTTCTGTGCTCGGCTGTGCCGTAGCATGTCTGTCGTCAGCTGCCCGATGTTTGCAGGTTCTCCTTTTAATTAATTAATTAATTGAATTAATTGCAATTTAATTTGGAGTTGAATTGGACTTCACAAGTCTTGTTTTGTACTCTTGATGGTGTTTCTGCTACTTGTCAAATTCTAGCTCTTAAACACAGCGTGTTTTTTCTAAACACTGGGTTTTTTTGTAGGGATCCAATAGTTTGTCTTGAATATGAGTTTACCTTGTGATTGTATCATGAATTTTAAAAGCAGTTCCTTAAAATTAACTATGGCACTTGGAAAGGGAAGTTTTATTAGTGGCATTACAGTGCCTGAATAATGTTTAAATATTTTGCTTCTTTTGCAAGTGGGTATTGTAATAAAAAAGGAATTTACTTTGAAAAGTTACACATAGAAAGTCAATGTTAGGTTTTACAGAAATATTACATTAATGAAAATACTTGAGCATTCAGGAATGGCTTTCACCAGTACCCCCCAAAAATGACTAGTGGATGAGTTAGTCATTGCGCTAAGGATGTTTTATTTAAGTTTCCAGAATGCTCTAGGCTGGTTAGGATATGATATGAGGAAAGGGTCTGAGTCCGTTTAATTTCATGCGGACTCTCCATAGTTTTGGGAACAAACTGTAGTTACAAAATGCAAAGATAAAGCTTTTGTGAGATAAGAGCTGAAAAATTGGATAAACCTGCGTAAATGGGGTTGGTGCAGATAATGGCTTGAGAGCCAGGGAAGTAAAATCCTTTCCTAACCTGGAAAAAGAATAAATATTTAGACTAGTTTCAAAAATATTTTGGACTCTAGCTTTGTTTTCGTGAGGATCATTTGTGGGTTGCTGTTTCTAGCATTAGGTAAACCATTTCACTGTGACTATATTCTACTTGGAAATCACCTTCTTACCAGTGTTCTACAGCTGGATGCTCTGTGTACCCTTCATGTCTTTCACAGACTTCCCCAAAGCATATCAACATGTATATATGTTGATTATATTTATTGTATTTCTAGTTGAATCTGCCCTTATATTGATGTCCCACCTGGAAGGAGAGGGCAGGAAGAGTAGCTTCATGTACTTCCATCAGAAACCCACTGCCTCTGCCCGCTGGGTCCTGGGGCAGAGTCCAGCTGCCGAATGAGCTGGGCCTCCATAACATGCCGATTCCTGGATGTTGGCACAGGAAGCACTGGATTTTCGTGCCGCTTTGATTGATTCATTTTTGTCTGGCCACTTCTGGGGTTACGGATGCCACTGGAGGACAGGAGCTGGAGCCTCCTGAGGGCATCAGGTCCTCTGTATGGATGCTGCAAGATCACTGACGTTTTCCAAGGCAAGATCAACTGTCTAGTTGAACAGGAGGGACCGTCTGCAAGCAGTGAAACAGCTGACCAGCATTTCATTTTATTCTCACCATTCAGCCTATGACCACTTGTGGTTTACATTGAATATGCTTCCTGCTACTCGATATCCGAAAAGGCTAGTTTCCTACAGGGTTTTCT